CCCCTCCCCCACCCCCCCGGCCTGCCGCAGCTGCTGCCCCAGGCCTGGGTGTGTGTGCGTGTGCACACGCACCCTACTTTCTCATGCCATTTCTCATGACATGCACACACGTATAGCATGAGAAAGGGTGTGTGCACATGCGTGTGTGTGTGTGTGTGTAGATGCCATGAGAAAGTAGGGATGTGTGTATTGAGATATCTATAGGCAGATACATACATATGTAGACGGAGAGAGAGAGATCGTATGAGAAGGTGTTTGTACGCGCGTGTGTGTACATGGCATGACAAAGCAGGGTGTGTGCGTGTGTGACATAAGAAAGCAGCGGGTTGCATGAGTACAGCGTGCACTTTCATGACCCCAAATTTGCACCGTCGGATCTTTGTTCACGCATCCCAGAGCGCTGCCTTTGGAGAGCCTTGTAGCTTTGCAAAGCGCTTTTCTTCAGTGAATAAAACCACGCGACGGCCACCCCTTACGCTGGAGCGAGGTTAGGAATCGCTCTGTGGGTAGAGAAGGGAAAGGTTGGGGTAGAAACTCAGAAGCTCGTCGCGTCCTTGGGGAGAGGGTCTGGGGAGATGAATTAGTTCGTGGGTTGGGACATTTAGCTGTCAGTGGTTGACAGGGTGAAGTTCCTGTTTAAGAGTTTTCCTGACTTTCCAAAATCTCAAAGTTTGACGCCAAGGCCTGGCTCTCCTTTTTGTCTCAAGGGTGTGAACAAATGACTCTTCAAGAAAAAGCTCAACGTGCTCATCCTCCGATCCTGGAGAGAGACGACTGGCTGTGTGTGGGCTGTTGCTCCCCTGCTTTACCTGTGGCATGTTAGGAGGGTGCTGTGCCTTGTGGTTGTGTGTCAGGGATGACTGTGTCGTTTTACTAATAGGTTAGACATGGATTTCTGTAGGTGGCTTGGATGGGGATGATCCTGCCTTGAGTCCCTGCTCAAGGACTGGACTAGATGAGCTGTAGGGTTGCTTTCAACCTTGCGTTTCTGTGGTTCTGTGAGTGCTTGTAGGGAATCATCCCCAGTAACAGGCGTCTTACATGTGTGAGAGGGGAACAGGACTTTGGTCCATCTGCCTCTTGGTTTGGAGCCCGAACAGAGCGTGTATTTGCCGTGGTGGTGCTTTATTGTGTCTATTCTACACACAGGCTAATAAGACTGACCAGTCAGAGTGTGTTTGAGGATCAGTTTTGCGGCACTGGAGTTAACGATAAATCACCCAGCGTCCTAGCTGGGCGCATCTGTCATGAGTCATGTGAGGCTTGGAGTAGTGTTGTAGCAATGATGGTCCAGGAAATATGCCAGAAACAAGGGCTGTTTTGGTGATATCTTCTGTTGGGGCAACTGTATAATTGGGAAGGTTTTAGACATGCTCCAGGCTGGCCCAGGCTTGAAGAAGGGGGCCTTGTGCCTGAAAAGCTTGTCTGACATTGTTCCCAACTGTATAGTTGTTCCAGATAAATCATCAACCTCTCCCCCTTGCAAAACCTTGCTTCTTGTGCAAGTCACAAGTCAGATGTCAGCAAAGTTGCTTAGTGCACTTCAGTACAATGGTGCTGACTTGTATGGGAACCTGTATTGCGGCTTGTGACTTTCTGGCGGTTGAAGTAAATGGGAATTCTAGATATGGATCAACTCTGCCATCCAGGCCTGAATCCAGGATAACAGTTTGTGGGTCCTAGCAATGGACTGCTTGGACAGTGTTGTAAATATTATTTTTACTTGTCACTAAACACTGTGAAATGCCAAAGAAAGCAGACTGACTAGTGACTTAAGTTGATTCCTTGTGATGGATGACCTTCAAATAATAGAGTCTGTGCAGCACTTCCCATTAGAACTGAACTTAAGCCAGTGTGTGATGATCACACATGTGTCCTGCATAGAGACTTCATCTACCCAGAACATGCTGTTTGAAGAAGTTACCCCAAAGAATGATGCTAAAAGGTGGCATAAGCTAGAAAGATGATCCTCCAGCGTAGGAGTCTCCCACTTGAACAAAAAACTATTTTTCTTGTTCTTCTGGTACCCAGCTGATTGTTATAGCATGGGCATCCGTGTCCAGACTTCAGGTGACCTATAGTCAAGCATGACCTGTATAGCCACCCACCAGTATCTCTAGTAGAAATGGACCAAGTTCAGGAGAAACTATCATGATTCTAGTAAACCTATACTGGCAGAGAGAAATCTACAGTTCACACCCTTGTTGAAGAATTGATTAGTATGTTGAATCTATTTGCATGTCTGACCTCAGAGGATTATTTGGCCGACCTCTCTCCTAGTCAAAATCTTTTTCACAGCATGGACTGGAACTGTAGAGACCCAGGAGTATGGTGGCTCTGAGCAGGTGTCTAAAAAGACATTCCAGGTTTAAGTTGCCTGTCCTTCATCTCAAAAAGAATGTAGCCCGATCCAAGTTCTTTACAATATTAATGTAAAAATCTTGTATTCACAGTTATATAAGACAATGAATGTCAACTTTTTATGACACTAGAAATTCGTAGATTCCTCTGAAGAAGCTGACATTTATATCTTTGTAAATGGAAGACTTGCAGTATGGTACAGATAGCAAGGTCTACAGGTAAATCTCCTTGTTTGTTTAGCTAAGGTTTCTCTATTGCTTCATATACAGCTTGAGTAGAAGTTGGTGCATTTTAAAGCTCCCTGCATTATGGTATACTTGTGTGGATCTGATATAACTAATGAAATTACCTTTTGAGTCATCATCTGCTCACTTTAGATTTTTGTGTGTGAAATTATATCTGTGTTTACAATGATTTCTACTCAGTAAGCTATCTTTGGTGGCTGGTTCACCTTATATCAGATTTTATAGGGATGAAACGATGCTTATAGTGGTATCCTAAATTCAGTCTTCTCTTTCTTTAATGTTAATTTTGTATCACTGCATTTGAGCAAAAAGGTGGTTAAACATCCTGTCAAAATTTCTTTGCATGGTTGCATACCACTACCATTAAAGTCCTCTTCTCAACATGATTGTCAAAGACGTCTTTGAAGAGTCTTCCAGGTGTTATTCACCGACAGAGTTACAAAGTGCTCGTTTTTTCTCCAGGTATTTCTGTAAGCAAAGCCTTTGAACATCCAAGAACGGGTATCTTTACGTGTTATATATTAATTGAATACAAGCTACTTCTTAAAAAAATATTATCTCATAGGTCTTAACTTGCCCAACTGAATTTGGGGCTCTTGTTTTCTGAGACTCTCTTTCATTGCAGGTTTCTAATAAATTTGTTGGCTTTAGAAAAAAGTCATGTGCTACAACATTATATTATCTTCACACTCTAAAGCAGTGGTTTTCAACCTTGTTAGATGTGGGGCACCCTTATTATATTCAAGGCACCCCTTGGAAAATGCCAGCTCATAGCTTTCACTTGATTCTTGACTATGGAAAAATAATAGTTATTCTGTTGCAAAGAACTTGGAAAGACCATAGTGGGTCACATTTGTTTTTGACACTATGGATTCTATGGATTCTTGTTTGAAATCTGCTAATATCATGGGGCACCCCGTAATGCCCTTACAAGGATCTCTCAGCACCCTAGTTGAGAATCACTGAAGAAATGGAAAGCAGTTCTGAAAAGGTGTACAGGTGTCTAGCACATGCAATGACATTTGTACTCAGATACCATTGTCTCACTGAAGACCAAAAGTCTCCAGGAAGTAAATTATCTTTTGTAGTGCTGTACTATAAGATGCAATGGAGAGGGTTTTTGGAGGCTACTGTATGGAAGACTAACACTGATTTCTTAAACTGTTTTTTCATGGGTGGCTTTGATCAAAGTTAAAATGGTCAATCTTGGAGATCAAGAAGAGGAACGATAAAGTGATAATTGGAAAAAATCAAGTTGAGCAAGACCTTGAAAAAGGGTATTAAAGCAAATAGCAAAAGCTTTTTTCAACTGTATATAAAAAAGAGGACAAGGGGGAAAGTGAAGCCTGTGAGAATGGGGTATAGATTAACAATCTAGGCAAAGCTCAAAAACTAAGTGAAAACTTCAGATCTGATCACAGTAAAAATCATGATGTTGATCATGAAGACAAGGAAAGAAAAGATAATCTTGGATAATACAAGCTACAGAACATTAAAACAGAGTACAAAGAGTTCATTGCAGGTTGGGATGGACATTCTGGTGTCTCTGGAAGTCGGCATGTGAAATTTCAGATCAGGCAACTGGAATTTTTAATAAATGTATTGGTTTGGAGATGGTACCTATATTTAACAATTGGAGGGTATTGATGAAGGCATTGACAGGCCTGGTAATCTAAACTTCAATAGTAATTAGTTTTTTAGAACACATTTTAAAGGGAAAAAAAGTATACATGGAAGCAAATGGAAAGTGGGATAAAATTCAGCATGGATTTGCTAGAAGTTTATCATGTCAAACTAATCTGATACCCAGAGCTGACCTGAGCAGGGCGCGAGATGGAATGTAGTTGTACAAAAGGCAGGGCTGTGCATTTATGCACTAATAGCAAGAAATTATTCCGTAAGGGGCCTCGGTAGGGGACAGAACAGGAAGTAACTAGCTTAAATTGCAAGCAAAGAGAGCTGCTTTGCCAAGGAAGTAGTTCAGTGCTAGAACTGTTTTTTAGAAAGGTTGTGAAGCTTTTTCAGAGTAATTAAGCAAACTTTTGTCTGGGATGGCTTGAGGGGGGTGGGAGGAGGGAGGCTGCCTTCGGTGGGGAGTTGGGGTAGATGTCATTTTGGGGTTGCTTGCAGCTCTGTTTTCTTTGTTCTAAGTTGGGAGTTCAAAAGTTGGAAATAAGTGAGGAAGAGAAGGGCATGTGTTGTTCACAGAATGATTGAGCTGCCAGTGTGATGCAGCTGTAAAAAGGCAAATGTGATCTATCAGTTGGAGCATTTGTAGTAGAGATGAGGCAGTATAACTGCCATATTAAAGGCTCTGCAAAGTCATGTGGAAACACTGTACGATTCTAGTTCATCATTCAAGAAAGTTAGATCATTCATTATAACTGGAGTGCATGTGCAGAACAATTGATTATTAATGTAATTGATAGGCTAGTCCGTCATTTCAGAGGAAACAAAAGTTTGGATATACTTGCTTTCTATAGATACATTACAGAAGTAAATATTAGGCAGGGAGAAAAGTTTTTTAAGTTATAGGATGAAATCGGTACAAGTACTAAAGCATATGCCCATTCTATAAGTAAATTAAAGCTTGAAATTAGAATGCCCTTGACCTTTAAAGGTTGTGGAGTATTCATAACTGTGGTAGCAGGGGGCTGGGCTTGGTGATCCAGTGGGTCCTCTCCTGTACCAGCAACTTCCCTGTTTGCAACACACATTTTAGTAGCAGAGCATGTTGCCTGGTTCAGGATTAGTTATCCTGTGATTGTGCTGCTTGCAGGTCGAGTACAGGGAGATGGATGAAAGTCTTGCAAACCTCTCTGAAGATGAATATTACTCTGAGGAGGAAAGAAATGCTAAAGCTGAGAAAGAAAAAAAGCTGCCGCCACCGCCACCACCACCACCTCCAGAGGAAGAGAATGAGAGTGAGCCAGAAGAGCCATCTGGTGAGTGAAGAGAACTCTTGACAGGATAGCAATTACACTGTCAGTCATTCAGAAGTGGCATCACGACCCTTAGGTTCAGATCAGGTTGGATAGAGAAGTTTGCCCTTTGAACCTGTCTTCGGTTCATATGTAGAAAGAGGCTAAAGAAATGCACAAGAGTAACTTAATATAAGACTAGAAGCCAGTAGTTATGGGTGTAATAAAATTGCAAACTGAGAAGAATTTTAAGACTAGGATATTTTCTATCCTAACAGGCTTGCCTGTATAAAAAAAAATGTCTGCTAAAATAGCTGCTATTTCCTGCGGCACTTAGACTGGCTCATATGCAGATGTCCACTTTGTCTTCATTGGGAAAAGATGTCAGGAATTACTGGGTGAATTCTGTGACCTGTACTATATAAGAGGCCAGACTGTTTTAATAGTGGCTCCTAATGCCTTAGTTGTGACTCTGTTTTCTTATCTCTGGCCCACTTTAGGAAGCAAAAATTGGGATAGGTGTACACTTCAGTTTTGTATTTGTGAGAACATGTAGTTGCTTTATGTACCCTCTGTCATTCTGAATTCTCAGAAAATTGCTCCTATAGCCTTTTCTATTTTTTGTGGTGGTATTGGTAGTCTACAAGATTCACATCCCTTGTCTGTGCACCAAAGCAATTTTGTGTTGCTATATATAACTTCAGAAAACTCCTTTCACAGGCTCCATGTACAGAAGAGATAATGGCCTTAAATGTGTAGTTGCTCTTGGTTTTAAATTTCAGCTTTGTTTTACTTTACTTTATAACATGGCAGTTAATTATCAGGACAAAGAATATTTCGTTTCCCACTTGTGTTGCTCTTAATCTGCTTCCCTTTGAACAGGACTGAGCATGTGTATCAGTGAGGTTTCAATTTAACATTTTCAGTTTGACACTAGTTTGATGGAGAATATTGGCTTTCGACATTTACTGAAGCTGTAGGCATAATTTTCTGTGCCTTGTCTAGCAGAGCCTGAACCCTAAAAACTTTCTTTTGTGTCATTAGAATGTGCCCATTCTTGATGCATGATAAAATAATTTTTTACCCTCATATTATATGTAAGTTACTGGTGTAGAGTTTTAAAATGACAGAGACATTGCTTCTTTCATTAGAGCCAACCTCTACCAAAAATGATGCTTTAAAATGAGTATTTAAGCCACTACCTTGAGCACAGTGCATGAAATGTATTAAATTTCATATGTTCACATGGTTGATTGTTATTCTTAGACACGTGGCTTAGATGTATATGGCTTGTGGATACTTTTGGGGCAACAACTAGAGTAGCACTCACAATTTTCATATAATACAGAACCAAGAACACTGAAAGTTGTCAGTTAAACTGAGATAAACCCACCTATAGATAAATATCATAAGTGAATTAAATGCTGGGTTCTTGGCATTGTATTCTGCCAAGATCTGTCTATTATGTTTTGAAAATGCTGGATTCTAGGCTGTTTTGTCCTTCCTCCTTTATCAAACTTTCTGTAATATGAAAGACAAAGACATGCTATGCATATGAAAAACGACTGTTGGTAATTTGAAGGGTTCTTTCCATATTTTGGGCTTTGTCTTCTCTTAAATTTCTGAAACAAGCCATACACTGGTGAGCGCATATCCCTTTCTCTATTTGCTAAAGTATATCCATCAAACCGGACGGAAGCTAATCTGCAATTGATCTGTTAGGCTAGACTTAAATTTTCATCCAAGCAATACTACCAGCAGAAGCACGAGCTCCGCTTCATATTCTGCTAATATGTTTTTTCAGTATAGAGGCACCCAATGACAATGAATTTTGCCTCTCACCTGATTCTTCTTATTGAAAATATGAATTTCAAAATTTAATTAGGAATGTTATAAAAACTTGCAGTGATGCTGATGAAGATTACAGCAGTCTGAGGGTAAGATTGCACATCTAAAATCAGACAATGGAAGCTAATTTCTGCATTACTATAAACTTGGCTATATTGGGTAGCATGCATTTTATCTTGCTTAAAATATTTTAAGTTGTCTACAGTGCATGTAGCACGGAAGAGACTAGAAAATATGAGAGATGTGAAGTTGGTGAGTTTGTTGCACAGAAGTTTGGATTTTTTTTTATAATTCTTAGACCCTAACATTTCATTATTTTTGTTTAATAATGGAGACTACTTTGCATTCTTAGCTACTGTGCAGTAGCTGCTGTTCTTTTGACTCTACCGTCCCATGAGCAAAGTCAGCTAATATTCTCCATCAAATAATAACACAACTTATAAGGTAGTGAAAACTTATGACTTCTAGGTTGATTTGGGTATGCTGAACAAGGACACTTTTTGGAAGTTCTGACTGTCTAGACTGGTATAGCATTACAGAGTTGCATGGTTTACTAGAAAAGACTTAGAGTTCCAAAAGAGCTTTCAGGGGTATATATTAATATATTTTTAAAATTGATTTGAATTACGAAATATGAAGTTTAATGTTAAGTTCCTTCCAGAGTAGGGAACCCTGTTCTGTCTTTCTTTCCAGTTAGAAAGAACCCTCTAGGACACCACTTCCCTCCTTCCACTCCAGTTATTGCTGTTTAATTCAATTTAAGTTCATGGCTACCAACATCTCCTTATAAATTAAGCAGCTAGCCTCTCTCCTAAGATATTTTTTAATGCATTTACCAACTCGTATTTTAATACTACTATGCCATTTTCTGAGGCCATTCCTCTAGCTCCGTCCATTTGTCTAATTTTCTTCCATCCTTGGTTTGTGATTAGCAGAGTTATTTCTTACTGGACCAAGGTTAATCTCATGCCTCCTCAGAAATCAGTGAATTGATATGCTAACACCAACTTATCATGGGAACCCTCTGTTTCATTTGATTTGTCTCCTTTTAAAATTTAGCCCTAAGGTATAGTCATCTTGTGCTACTATTCCACTGCCTTTACTTTGAAGCATTGGAGGATTGGTACCTCCACTGGTATTTCTCTGGTGTTGAATGGTAACAAAATTAAGTGGATTTTTTGTCTTTTGACTTTTTCCTGACTACAGTTCAGTGTCAGATGTGTAATTACAGTCTGACCAATAGTACTGCAAACATACAGGCTAAAACATCAGCTTGGATATGTGGCTTTACATGCAAGACCCCTTATGAAGAAGTTTTACAATTGGTTGCTATGAAGTACTATCCATCCACATTGTAGGTTAGTCTGGCCAATCATATTTGATGCTTGTTAAATTGCACTGTGTATGATGCAGCGAAAGCCAGCTTATCTGTCTCATTGGCAGTGACTTTGGCTAGTCTGCATACTGGAAGTATGGAGTAGACGGATGGATGTGAAAAGTACTTTGAATTCTTCCTTAGAGTGTTTTTAATTGCTACTTTATCAATAGCCTATAGGTGCATAGTCTCTGATTGTGCTGGAGCTGATGCTATTGTACTGCTGTACCAGTAGGGTTTCATGAGGAGGGATCCCAGTGTCTCTTTCATCCATGATTCTCTGGAGTCTTTTGAGGACCGTGGAGATGTATGGGTATTTGGTCCTTAGGTTTCTGGCCTGTTTCTCCCAAGATTGTCAGGAAGGTTAGTTAGTTAAGTGTCCATAGCATTCCTAGGGGGAGCAGAGGCCAGACTCCTTTCATTTAACCTCCTCAGTCATTGGGTGTGAGCAGGGCCATGAGCCTCATGCATGCTGTCAGCCTTGTAGCAGATAGTTCTGACCTTGCTTGAGCATGTCTGTCAACTCATGTGCTGCAGCATAGCAGCTCAGGGAGTCATGACCCTGGCATTGGAAAGGCACTTACTAGAGCTGTGTTCCGTGTTGGATGAGTCCAAGAACAAAATGCCAGAGGAAGAAAATATAAGAGAGTCCATGGAGGATGGCTTTCTCTGAGATCACTTGCAGACTGTTTACTGCGACTTCTGGGTCAGAGACATGGGAGTGAACTGGTGAGAGCAGATGATGCTGAGGACTGGGAATGACTAGCAGTGGCAGCAAAAGGTCCGAATGGCCAGGTAGACAAGACATTCACTGAGATCTGTGCTAAACTGGTCCAGTGGCAGAACTCTAACATGAGGCCCATGAGCAGGTGGGAATAGACACTTGGAAACTTTACTGTCTTTGACTGGTGACAAAACAAAGGTTTTTGTTTCAATACGGTCAAATTTATGGCTGGATCAGCTGTTTGGAAGGTATTCTGCACCATCCAAAGGGTGTTGTCATGGAGCTTTAACTTTTCATTGCTGCATTTCTGTGTATGAGGCTTTTGAATTGGGTTAGGGCCATTGATAGCATGCACACCTCTATCCTGTGCCTAGCATGTCATGGCACAAAATACCTTAATTGCAAGGCTTACTTTTCTATTTGCTACAGAGTATGGTAGACAAGCAGGAAGATTCACACATTTGACTACCAGGTGATCTGGAAGGGTCCTGGACACTAGGGTGTTTTAAAACTCTTACTCAGGGATCTAGCCTATCTTTTCCTCCCATGGCTTATGAAGCCCTGTATTAGACACCAGGGGTGCGTCCAGATAAGTGCAGACATTTGTTTCCCTGGGAACAAGTAGCAGCAGACCTTGTGCCACTACTACTTGTCCCCCAGGGAGCGCCCATGCCACGTGCTCTGGCGCGCACCAGGTTACCCTGGGTAGGGCAGGGGAGGCTGGGGGCAGCAGCTTCGGTTTTGGGCAATTTGCACTGCCGCCACATGTCACCCCGCTTTTTTTTTTTTTTTTTGGCGTGCACTTTTTTGACTGGGATCTCTCAGGGTCAAGCCCCCCCGCCTCTTCCCGCGCACTGCAACACAGTAGCGTTGGGAATGCCTGCGTGTGCAGCGTGTTTTCCATGTTCATCTGGTTGTGCCCTAGGATGCCAGAAAGGTGTTCACTTACTGGCTAAACACCTGCCATTTGACATTTCCACCTTTGGGCACCTCGAGGGCTGATGGAGGGCACTGAATGCCCCATGTGTTTGGGGGGCGGTTGTTGTTGGGTTTTGTTTTTTTTTTAACTTTGTACAA